TTGATATTGTATATGTTCGGTGTATGCATGTTATTATTATGTTGTAATGGCTTATGTATGTTGCACTTAGTAGGATAACCACGTGATCATATCAGTACACTGTGGTTGTGTACTGATACTGCACTTGCTCTTTCTTTGTTGAGTACAGGGCATCTTCAAGCGACTATTGACAGACCTCGTTTAGAAGATGAGTGATCGTTTCGAATTCAAGGGTGAGCCAGTTTTTTCGGGCTGCCATGAGTTCTCTTTCTGTTTATGTCCACATTTTTGGACTTATTAGACTAGTTCTTTAGATTTCTTATATTTAGTATGGGGTTGTACCCCTTCTTGTTTAGACTTATGGTTGAACCTTAGATGTTTTGGTACATTGACTTTTCAGGTTGCAGGTGTTATTCCGCATTGTTTTGGTTGATAGACTTTTGTTTAGAGTTTATGGGAACTCCCTATTTCTTTTCCTTAGCATTTAAACATGCTTCTGTACCTTTAAATGCCTTAGTTTTTCGTAAGTGGCTTAGCTTGGGTTATAGTAGTGGTTCTCCCACCGGAGGGTTAGTGTGGGTGCCAATCACGACGGTCTGGGTCGTGACATTACCCCCTTTCCACCCCAACACTCCTCGCTCACTTTAATTAATTTTACGAAATATATATTAATTTTTATCAATATTATATTACTCTAGCTATCCACTAAAGTGAAAACATGTTTTCTCAATTATTGAGTCTTTAATTTTATTCTACTGAGGCTAGGACATTTCTCAATTATTGAGTCTTTATTAATTGAATAAAATAGAAGTTCCAAGAAAAAAAGTCAGTCAAACTTCGAGAACCCTCAAGAAGTCAAATGTTCAAAACTATTAGGGATTGAAACTAAAATATATAAAATAAAAAAGGAAGAAAAAATAAAATAATATATATACCAAAAATTCTTAAACAACTTGTTGTATGCTATATTTGTGGATATGTCTTGATGTAGATATGCTGAGTCAATTAAAACATATTTTATATTTTGGGTGGTGGTGATAATTCATTAAATTATTGAATCTAATAATTGGGAGTTGTATATTTTCTTTAAACCAAAGAAAATGACTGTTTTGTTATTTAGAAAGTCAATTGCTATATTTTAAAAAAAAATATTTTTATTTATTTATAATATCTCTATACTTTTTTCTAAGTATTTTTATTAGAATTAGAAATTAAATATGTCAAACTCTGAAGCTACTTTAACTTTGTTTTTTTTATACGCACTCAATGAACACCAAATTAATCAATATATGCATAATATAACATTTGTTCTTACAATATCACTTTTAACACTTAATCATATCATTATTACTTAATTAATTAAGTTGATGTGACACATTTTTATTTTTAATACATTTCAAGAAGAAGAATATACCTCTAAATTCTGAAATAATTAACTTTATTTACCTCAATAATTTTTTATATAATAAAAAAAATATTATGACATTCTCAACACCATGATCTACATAAAAACAGATTACTTATTCTTACATAGAAAATATATAAATTAAAATAGAAAAAGTAATAAATATTTTTTTAATCTTTATTTGTCATTTAATTATGATTATACAATTTGATGTAAAAATATGGACGAAAAATATGAAGTGGGTATATACCAATTGACATAAAAATATTGATATGATGTCGCCTCAGTGGTCACCCAATAAACTATTTTTAATAGTTAATATTTAATACTCCATCCGATCATTTTTATTTGTTATTTTGCGATTTTCAAAAGTTAATTTGACTAATTTTTAAAGTTAAATTAGATTACATTAATTTAATATTTTAAGCAAAAAATTTAGATATTCAAAAACTATATGAAAAATACTAAAAATTGCAAGTTTTTGCATATTAATATGATGAAAAAATACATCGTAAAATATTAGTCAAAATTTTTATAATTTGACTCTAAAAAGGAAAACTATTACAATTAAAAGTAAACAAATAGAGTATTTAAGACTGGGGATGAGATGTTCTCCATAATGTAATGTCTAGAACTTAGATCCAATAATGAATTATTCTACAGTATTGATAGCAACAGGATATTCTTATTCCATTTTGTGTTGAATAATTACTTTATATATATATATATATATATACTAGTAAAGAAAGCCCGGGCGCTGCCCGGGTCCAACATTAATAAAGTTATATTGTTACTCTCTCCGTCCCATATTAGATGAGAATTTTACTAAAAATATTTTTTTCATATTATTTGAGCACTTATTAAATTAGGATAGAATTAATTAGTTCTTTTCTATTTTACCCCTACAATTAATATGACCATTCCTATATTGTATGTGTATTTTTTGTAACTCATTTCAATGTGCATTGATATAAACAAAGGGCAAAATGGTGAAGTCTTCCAATTTATTAATGATTTCTTAATCACCGTGTAAAGTTGAAAGTGCCCATCTAATATGGGACGGAGGGAGTATAGTTTATGTATTGTTATAAAATTAGTAAAGATTGTTATAATATATTTTGCTCGTAAGTGAGCTAATATAGAAACTTATGTCATTTGTCTTTTTAATTTCAATTTTAAATAGCAAATAAATGTAGCGATAAGATTGAGGGTAGAAATGAAACATATCTTTCTAAATTTAAGTAAAAATAAACAGAGTAGAAGTAACATTAGGGTTATCGATAGGACGATTCATTCGGTTATTTTTAAAAAAATTATATCATTCAATTTTTCGGCTATTTTATAATGTATAACCAAAATTAAAATTTTAAAATCATCCCAATCCTAATTTATATGACAGAAGTAGTACAACAATTAGTCTTTTTTTTGTTGTCTTGTAGATATTTTAAGTTATTATTTATTGTAAATTATAGTACTTTTTATTAAAGCTTTTAATAACATATGTTACTTTTTATGTTTGAGAGTTAAACCAACTTTTTTTTATATGTCTTTTAATTTTATATGTGTTTTGTCCTTTTCCATTTTTAAAAACCAATACTCTCTCCATTTTATTTTATATGTCATTTCTTTTTATAAATATATTGGTTATTCCCTCTTCTTATTGGAACACATGTTGACTTGTGGTGAATACTTATTCCCTCTTCTTATATAGTAAATATATTGGTTATTCCCTCTTCTTATTGGAACACATGTTGACTTGTGGTGAATACTTATTCCCTCTTCTTATATAGTAAATATGTTACTTTTTATGTTTGAGAGTTAAACCAACTTTTTTTTATATGTCTTTTAACTTTATATGTGTTTTGTCCTTTTCTATTTTTAAAACCAATACTCTCTCCATTTTATTTTATATGTCATTTCTTTTTATAAATATATTGGTTATTCCCTCTTCTTATTGGAACACATGTTGACTTGTGGTGAATACTTATTCCCTCTTCTTATATAGTAATACTTATTCCCTCTTCTTATATAGTAACATATATATAAAGGATGTGTATAGAAAAAAAGGAACTTATAGAAATCTTATTAGTTTAATTAGGACTTTATTATTTGGATACACTCTAATTTATAATATCATGAATTTTATCAGATTTTGACGCGTCTAGATACATTCAAATATATATATCTTGAAATACATGAGATCAAAATTAGGTGTAATTTTATTCTAGATACACTATATTTTGATATATAGACAAATCTCACTCGCCTCCCTTCCATCTCGCTCGCCACTCTTCTGTTTATCTAGTATCACAGATACATACAGACACATGTATCTAGTGTAATTTGAATGTATCTGGGATACATCTCTATCTCCTTCCCATATCGCTTGCCTCCCTCCTCATCTCGCTCTCTCTCTCTACTTCAATGCATCTGGTAGCAAAGATACATATATCTAAGTGTATTTTTAATAGAAAACTCTTAATCAGTGATAAGATACGTATGCAATTATTTAAAAATATAGGTAGAATTAGTATATATAATATAAATGTATGCCTAATAAAATAGTTTTTCCAAAAAATACTAGGTGAAAGAAATGTTCATCAATTAACTAAACTACTACGATTTCACTTATCAAATAATATTACTAGAAAGAAGAAACCATATATTATACTAATATTTTCTTCTCCACCCTTTCTTGGTGGGAAGTGATGTTGCTTTTGTGATGACTTATGTCTCAACACTCTTTCTTTCTTTTAACTAAACATTAACAACCCTATCCTTGGCACTCACTTCACTTCTCTTACCTTGTTTTCTTCATAATGCTAATCTACAAGATTCTCATACCTGCTCAACATATTCATAAACATAGTCTACTATTTATATTTCTGAGAGTTAGTAGTAAGGTCTGTGTATTATGTATATTTTGTTATTTTTAGATTTTATTTTTTAGAATCTCATTAGATTGGTTGTTATTGTTATTATAGTCTAGTATGTATATTTGTTATGGTTATCGAGGTGAAGTTAAGACTTTAAGTTCTAGTAAAGGTAACTTACTGAGTTTTAGATAAAATATTTATAAGATATAAATAAAATTTCTGAATTTTATCAATTTCTTTAACAAAAGTATAACTCGTCTTTAATTGCCACATAAAAAGAATTATAAGTTTATCTTTGATGGCAAGTGAAAATATAATTTTATCTCTGATAACCTCATAAGCAGAATTATAACTTTGCCTCTAGTGACTCAATACATTCACATTTTCTCAAATATGAAGACATAATAAAATTTAAAGTATTTTAATCACTTATTGAATTTTAGATAAATTATTAAAGATTGTCTATTGTCTATAATAATGTTTATGTTTCGTTCACACAAATTAATGTCTATAATTTTAATTTTTTTTCTTAAAAAGAATTTGTCCATTTTAGCTCTAAAAGATAATATTATTGAACATTGCTGATAAGATAAATTAAAGGCGCGTTTGCATATGGTTTTTTTTTTTACTAAAAGAGTTTCAAAACAACATTTAATTATACATTCAAGTCACTATAAATAAGAACAAGAAAAAAAAGCAATTTTTTTTTTATCACATAGAACAAATAAAATACACTGATATCATGAAATCCAAGTGTGAAAAGAGAAGATTTTAAAAGTATCCTCCAATACCATGGGTCTTGGAATTTTGTGTAATAGTAGTATTGTCAGCTTCCACTTTTGTTCTTATACTTGTCATAATAATTTCAGTTACTTCAATTTGTCAGTTTCTTTGTTCAATTTCACTACCAAAATGGACTCATACACACACACACAAAAAAAAAAAACTCCAATTTTGATTCTTGAACAAGTGGACAACTAAATTGATCAAAGATTTCAACTTTTCTTCTTCTTGATTGTTTTCCCCTCTTTTAGTTTTCTTGGACTAGAGGAATGGTTACCAGTGGTGTGAAAGCATCTTCAGTAGCTATGGTTTCTATAGACATTTGCAACAGGTAATTTTTTATTTTTTTTTTAAATTCAAGAATTGCATTTGGGTTTTGTTGGATTTTGGTTCTTGTTTTGATTTATCAGGAAAAGATGCAGTTTTTTTTTTTGTTTTGCTTATGGTTTCTTTAGAAGGGTGTTTGATGAATTTTGGTTCTTGTTTTGATAAAGTGAAGAAAAATGTGAGTTTTTTTTTGTTTTCTTTAGAAGGGTGTTTGATGAATTTTGATTTGTCTAGGAAAAAATGCAAGCTTTTTTTCTTCTTTGTTTGGTTTCTTTAGAAGGGTGTTTACTGAATTTTGGTTCTTGTTTTGATTTATAAAGAAAAATGTGAACTTTTTTTTATTTCTTTTCTGTTTGCTTTCTTAAGAAGGGTGTTTACTAAATTTTGGTTCTTGTTTTGATGTATAAAGAAAAATGTGAACTTTTTTATTTCTTTTCTGTTTGCTTTCTTTAGAAGGGTGTTTGCTGAATTTTGGTCCTTGTTTTGACTTATCAGTAAAAATATGAGCTTTTCTTTCTCTTCTTTAGAAGGGTGTTTGTTGAATTTTGATTCTTGTTTTGACTTATTATGAAAAATGTGAGCATTTTTTTCTCCTGTTTGGTTTCTTTAGAAGGGTGTTTGATGAATTTTGATTCTTGTTTTGATTTATCAGGAAAAAATGTGAGCTTTATTTCTGCTATTTCTGGTTTCTTTAGAAGGTGTTTGTTGAAATTTGATTCTTGTTTTGATTTATCAAGAAAAATGTGAGCTTTATTTCTTTTCTTTTTGGTTTCTTTAAAATGATGTTTGTTGAATTTTGGTTCTTGTTTTGATTTATCAAGAAAAATGTGACCTTTAGAAGGGTGTTTGTTGAATTTTGATTCTTGTTTTGATTTATCAGGAAAAATGTGAGCTTTAGAAGGTTGTTTGATGGACTGTTTTTTTTTTTGTTGTTGTTGATTACTTTGTTTATGTAAAGTTATTTGTGGATTGGAGAAGAATTTTTCCTAGTACTAGGCGAAAATTCCCAAACCCTTCATTCTGTAGGATCATCAGGTGTGATTTTGATGGTCGCGTTGGATGTTGGATTGGGAATGAGAAAGGAAAATGGAACAAACTGGCTGCTGCTGCTGCAAGTACAAAGGCACCTAAATTGGGAATGAGCATTTCACCTTTGCCTTCCTCTGCTGCTCTAGCAGAAACCCGATGGTCCTCGCGAGCCAAGTTCTATAAGGAGGTTTGGGACTATATTTCTTGTTATATGCTGCTTTATAGAACAATTCTTGCTGTCAAAATGATGATTTGATAGTTTAATCAGTGAATAGAGATACTTTCTTCTGTTCTATTCTATGGGACACCCTTTCCGTTTTAGCCTGTTAAAAGATGAATGACACCTTTCTGTATTTGGAAACCTTACTGTTAGCGACATGTTCTTTTCGCCATATAAATGTCACGACATGTTTAAGAGCACACGTTTTAAGATCTTTCTGGTCTTAATGTGCCCAGTCAAACACCACCATGTAAGAATGAAATGCAGCGAGTATATAATAGGCCTATTTTTGTTTGTCTATTGGAGTATCTCGGTCTAAATTTTGATCATTGATTGAGATTTTGCGATTTGGCAGGTTTTGAAAGATGCTAGGGAAAAGTTTACACAGGAGATATCATTTCAGTCCAAGGACAAAGATATATCCCTGGCAAAGGTAGTAATTTGTCTTGCTAAGCTCTTTTCGTACAATGCAGTTGATCTGTTGGTTTGAATATAACCACTTTCTTGGTTTCAAGGGACAGAAATGAAGTGGCTGTCTGTTTTTGGAATGTTCTGTCCTTAAATAATTCCGGCATTGTCGTTTTTCTTTTAGATAAATATAAATAAGTAAAAAATTGTTTGTATATGAACGGTGGCGTTCAGCATACGAGTTAAACCATCATTTCGCAAGTAACGTGCATGTTTCATCCGTTTTTTTACTTGTATTAATTGCATTCTTCATTTGGTTGTTTTGTTGTTTTCTATTATTCGGGTTAGGCTTTGCTCTACGTTGCTTCTGAAGACGAGGCATTTATGGATTTCAACCGGGAAATGGATTCTTATTCACTCCAAAATGAACGAAGATCTACTTCACTGCCATCTGATACACTAGACTGGAAGTGCGTAGAAGCCATGCCTCTGGCTGGAAAGAATATGAGTGAGTGGATGGCCGAGTTAGATTCCATTGCAAGGGAAGTTGAGGCAGAGCTAGTTCCGAGAGATATAGGATGCCATTTGGTTGAAGTTTTGGATGCAGTGAACGTTGTTCTTTTTAAGTCGAGGGGTTTCAAAAGGTCATCCGTGATAGTGGACTCAAAATGTTCATACCTGCATTCAGTGTTAAGCTCTGGATATTGTAGCGGTATATCTTAAAATTTGTCTCACCAATATCCTCGTTATTTTGCGTATTTCTTAAACCTCATGAAATTCAGAATTCTTTCGTGATTGCTTCATTTTTATTAATGTAATCTGACATGCTGTTTAACTTATGTACAGCAATTTTGCTTAGCGTCATTTACATCGAAGTTTGTCGAAGACTTAATCTAACCATTGTGGGATCTCGAATTGGAGAAGAATTCTTGATATGGCCCCAAACCGGAAACCCTGAGGTATGTTGATCTGAGCAAATGGATGTTTTGATCTTTTCGTTGGCATGTCCATATACTACTTCTGGTATATTCCTTCAGAATTTACGTTAGTCTCTAGTCTTATTGAGTTGGTATGTCTACATTTGCAACTGTTGTAGGAGCTATTCAAGGTTACTTCTGGTCACAACTTGTTTGGTATTGTTAACGGGAAGTGCGTTTATGACCCTAGATCAATGGCCTCGGACATCAATAGCAATTCACTGTCGGAGCTTGAGATTGCAACAAACCGAGATATTATCGGAATTGCTTTGGCTAATCTCATGGTGAGTTTTGTTCTTCTAAAAGGTAGAGTCTTTTGGATGTTTTAAGCTTGTATTTATACATCTCGTGGTGTTATTTATGAGTATTAATGTCACCATTCATAGATTTGGCAAAATAATTCTTTTTCCAAAACTAAAACTAACTGAACTAAATGAAGTGAAGTTCGCTGAAATAGTGTACTCGTACTATTACTATAAAGAAAAGAAGAGCGGGATGAATTGGACAAATACACAGAACCCCTTCTATTATATGTATTATCCTTTCCTGACATTATCGAAGGTTCCTTCCTACACAGAGGATTCATTGGAAACGTGCGTCAAGAGCAAATCATGGTTTGATGCTGACTTCTCCACTTAGGTCTGTGGATAAGTCTGACGAGAAGTTTAAGAAGACCGATGCTTCAACTGTACCTTTGCTGAGGCCTCAAGATTTGAGGTAAAGATCATATACTCTAATTGTGTCTTTGTTACTACCGCTGGTTCCCGTTCCTGATTAAGCAGGCCACTTTGTGTTGTCCCTACAGGTTCAAGATGCTAATATGCAACATTTGGCATGAGAAAAGGAGAACCGTGAATAATTTTGGCTACATTATTATTCTTATTGATTCTAACTTCCTACAAGAAAAAAAACAAAACTTGATCTACTATGCTGCAATATTGCATGAGTTTTAATTCCTCCATCTGGTTTTTTAGTTAGTCAAGCATAATTAGGTTCCCAGAACCTTCTCATTTATAGCACCATTTGGTTTGACAAAGTGCTTTCCATATCTAAACTCGGTGGTCTATCCGAATATCTGTGTTGCTCGGACTCTCCAAAAATGTTGTCGCACCTGTGTCTGATTCTCCAAAACTGCACTACTTTTAGAGGATCCAGCATATTCATCCGTTGATATTTCTTTGGTCTGCCAAATATGTCTAACTTGTACTGATCTTTAGATATGATTGTTAAGAATGAAAACTTTCGAGTTCTCATCAGTGTTATATCCATGTCCATTTCTGCATCCTAGTATTTCGATAGTTTGTTTTCATCAAACATGGGATTACCTCGACTTGGCATTTGATTATCATCTCTAGTGCATTAACTTTTTATCCGAAATGTAAAAACATGCTTGACAACGTTTTTGAGGTGTTTGTTTTATTAGTTTAGGCGAGTAAGAACGTCTTTTTTCAGTAGAAGTTTTGACCTTAGCTATCGAGGTATTAATTTTTGTGTGCAACATATTTCTCGCTTGTAATGACAATATGTCTGGGATGGTACCAACTTTCTAGGCTGGCTATTATGGCTTCGCAAAGATTGCTGATTCTGCAGCCACACAATTGGGCTCTGAGGAGAGACCACGGCATGATGTTGTACTATAGCAGGTACATAAACAATGACACTCGAATGAAATATAACCGTTTCTGTTCTTTTCCTCGTTTTTGCTGAAACATTTCATGCTATGAACAAATTTTGACAAAATGAACAAATATCCAGGGAATACGAGGAGGCGGTCCAGGAGCTTAGCATTTGCATGGTCTTTGCACCAGAAGAAGAGGCTGAAGTTCTAGAGGCATTTGTTGAGAAGTTACACCTACTACGGCTCGAGTCATCATGGAAGAATCTGGAACGTAAAGGTCGGTTAACAGTTACTTGACTTGTTTGTTCCAAAAACTTGTGCTCTTTCTAGCTTGTTAAAATAATATAACATATAGAACTTTAGCTGTAACAACCTCCTTTTTTGACTTGTGTAAATACTTTCCTTGTTTTGAAAATGAGATGAATAACATAACTTGAGCAGCTCAACGGTATATGTATGAGCGAAAAAACGAGTACAAGTGGTGTTAGATATACATTTTTAGAACCCACTATCATCACCACTTGATACTCGTAGTGTCTAATTCTTGATCCGCCACTGCCTACTGGTGCTCATTTGGTCATTTCTCATGCCAAAAGAGGACTGTGACATTATTGTTGTATCTTCAAGCTGAGTATAGTGCTTAGACTAGGACTCATGGTCTATGTTGCTCGGATCCTCCGAGAAGTTGTTGCATCTGTGTGTTAGATCCTGTAAAAATCCATATAAACTTCAATATCTTCAATTTATAGAAGTTCAAACTTTTTCCTCCTAGAAAACGGTTAGTTTTCCTTTTTCAATGTAAAACATAATCATAGTAAAATTCAAATATATAAGGTAGAAAATTCAGGATAAATCATAACATGTTTATAGTTATTTAATGCAGCTAATTAAACAAACTTATGGCTGATTTTAAGGATTATAGATAGAAAATAATTTGTTGCTTAAGTAAGCACATAAGCTAATTGTAGCTTTGCTAATCTAAGCTATAAAAGTTGATAAGTTTGTTAAATAAGCTTTACCAAGAATCATATATTAAAATAATCTGATATAATGATATATTATTAATTTTTAAAATTAATGTAGATACCAATTATTGTTATTTTCCATCATAGAATCATTCTAATTGTTTAGAATTTCTTCTACTAATGTCCTAATCCATGGTGTGTCATCATTCTTGAATCTTTTGATTATGATTTGAACTAATGGGTTAGGTAATTGGGTTGATAATGACTTTAATGATGTGGACATTGAAGTTGTTTTCACATTATTAGCTGGAGTTGGAGATAAGATTGACAAGTCCGCGACTCCCCCCGCCCCCTCCCTCTCCCTCTCCTGGAGAACAACGATGGCTTGTGGTGGATTATTGTTTATCCATAGGGAGAGGGTCTAAGGGGGGCAGGTGTACAAATAGATTGCGATCAAGAATGTGATCTAGTGGTTAGTGAAGGGAATGCAAATTTAGGAGATCAAAGTTTAGATTCTAATAGGGAAAAAAAGAGAAGAAGATGCTTTTTCTTCGGTTATTTTGAGGTTAGGGGTGTATCGGTAACAATCTAGATTCTGAAAGGATAAAGTCGTACACACTGCTCTCTCTTGACTTCACTAGTGAAATCTGAACAATGCTTAACTCAGGTCTAATATTGGTTAATATGTCGTTCAACTGTACAAATAAAATATTTAAGCGTCGTCTAATATTTGCAATAGTGAACTTACAAAACGATCTAACGTTTTTTCATAAAATTTTCAATTTAGCACAAAAAAAAAAATTAGATTGTGATCTAAAAGATTAATGAGTTTAAAGATAAATGAAAAAAGAGAATCATTTATTAAATAGTTATCTAAAAAGGGGATAATTGATAAAATAATTTTTGAAACGTATAAAATAAATTTTAAATTAAATGGTTTTAACAAAGAAAATATCAAATTAGATAATTGAATGAAGTTACGTACAACTTTAACAACTTCTAGATAACAAGAATTAATTTTCAAACTACATAAAATATAAATAGTTAGGTAGCAATAATTGGAGTCCGAAGCCAAAAGGGCAAAAAAAATTGTCAAAAATTCCAAAAGGGCAAAAAAAATTGTCAAAAATTCCAAAAGGGCAAAAAAAATTGTCAAAAATTCCAAAAGGGCACATTATATTTTTTTAAAACCAAAACGGCAAAATCGCTCCTGCCGGAGCGATTTTCCTTTGACACATATTAACGCCGTGTACTCCGTTAAAATAAAATCGCTGCCAGGGCAGCGATTTTACAAAAAAAAAATTTTCTTTTTTTTCCACTAAAATCGCTGGCACAACAGCGATTTTTTAACTATAATTTTTTCCTCCACCTAATATTGCTGCTATGGCAGCGTTTTCATAGAAATTTTTTTTTTTGTAAAAACTTTTTTTTGGAAAATCGCTGCCCTGGCAGCGTTTTCCTTAAAAAAAAAAAATTCGAAAATCTTTTCTTAATTAGACTGTCTTTTCAGCGATTTTTGCTAAAAAAATCATTTTTTAATAAAAACACTGCCTTGTTTTCAAAACGAAAAATAATTTTAAAAAAAAAAAAATTGAAGAGAAACGAATTAAAAAAAAAAAAAAATTTAACTAAAAAGCTGTCAAGGCAGCAATTTTCAGCCTTTTGACAGTTTTTTTTTTTTTTAAAAAATATATATATATAATCGCTGCCTTGGCAGCGATTTTGGTGGAACTAGTTTTCTATAAAAAAAAAATCGCTGCCTTGGCAGCGATTTTTGTAGAAATATTTTTTTATTTTATTTTATTTTTTGAAATTTCTGTCAACTAGTCAACATCTGATGGTAAATTTCTTTTATTTTTTTTTAAATCGCTGCCCGTGCAGCGTTTTTGCGATTTTGTTTTAAAAAAATAATCGCTACCCTTGTTGACTAGTTGATAGAAATTTAAAAAAAAATAAAAAAATAGTTCCACGAAAAGCACTGCCAAGGCAGCGATTTCTAAAAAAAAAAACTTTTTTCCACAAAATTTATAATAACGCTGCAACAACAGCAATTTAAAAACAAATAATTAATGCCAAAAAAATAAAATAAATTTGCTTTTATAATAACGCTGTAATAGCAGTGATTTTAATTTTAATTTTTTTAAATAGCAAAAACGCTGCACGGGCAGCGATTTAAACAAAAAATAAAATAAAATTTACCATCAGATGTTGACTAGTTGACAGAAATTTCAAAAATAAAATAAAATAAAAGAATATTTCTACAAAAATCACTGCCAAGGCAGCGATTTTTTTTTTATAGAAAACTAGTTCCACCAAAATCGCTGCCAAAGGCAGCGATTTCAAGATATATATATATATATATATATTTTTGTAAAAAAGCTGTCAAAAGGCTGAAAATTGCTGCCTTGACAGCTTTTTAGTTAAATTTTTTTCTTTTTTTTTTTAAAATTCGTTTTTCTTCAATTTTTATTTTTTTAAAATTGTTTTTCGTTTTGAAAACAAGGCAGTGTTTTTATTAAAAAATAATTTTTTTAACAAAAATTGCTGAAAAGGCAGTCTAATTAAGAAAAGATTTTCGAAAAAAAAAAAATTAACAAAAACGCTGCCAGGGCAGCGATTTTCCAAAAAAAAAGTTTTTACAATTTTTTTTTTCTATGAAAACGCTGCCATAGCAGCTCAATTAGGTGGAGGAAAAAAATTAGAGTTAAAAAATCGCTGTTGTGCCAGCGATTTTAGTGGAAAAAAAAATTAAATAAAAATCGCTGCCCTGGCAGCGATTTTATTTTAATGGAGTACACGGCGTTAATATGTCTCAGAGGAAAATCGCTCCGACATGAGCGATTTTGCCGTTTTGGTTTTAAAAAAATATGATGTGCCCTTTTGGAATTTTTGGCAATTTTTTTTGCCCTTTTGGTTTCGGACTCGCAATAATTGTTTTAATTAAATAAATAGTAGACCTTTTCCATTTTTATAAAAGAAAAGGGTAAAATAGAATTTGGTATCACTTAGTTAGGTTAATTTACAAAGTTAGTTGGACGTTAGGTATAAATTCACACTTTTTGTCATGTTATTTAACTCCAAATATTGACGGATTAATCAATGTAGGACTCTTTTTAAAAAAAATTTTTAATTATCAATCTATCACAATCCTTTGCTTTATATTAGTCAAATAATAAGAAAACGATCGAGAGGGGGCCAAAAGACCGTATAAACAAAACCCTAATTAAAATAAATGAGATTTATTTTCTTGATTTTTTTTTTATTCTATTCTCGACATGAAAAAAGATTCATAGATTATTAATATGCATGCACTCATTAATGTGAAACTTCATTGTTACGAGATCTTAGACTTCACAAGTAAAACGTCAAGATAATAGTTTAGAAATTCTTCTAGTAAAATTCGAGACTCCGTGATCAAAGCTATTTCTCAAAAATAGAATCGAAAATAACCGTACATTTTCTACTAATTTACCATACACTATAAAGTAAATTTACTTATTTTTAAAAAAATATTTTCATGAAAAACATTTTCCTTCGTAATAGACACAAGTGATATGTTTGTTTTGTGTATTATTACCATAAAATAATACTTCTTCTATGTCATTTTAGGTGATGATATTTGATTGGATCTAGAATTTAAGAGAAATATATTGAATTTAATTTAATTTTTAGAGAAATTATAAATATTTGCATGATTATAAAACCATATATTTAAGTACTTCCTAGTTGTTAACTCTTAAGTGATCATAAAATAAAAAGAACCCATATTTTTCCTATACTACTAATATAAGAAGACTAATTTGAATAATCTATTCTTATTACCTTTTTAATATTGGATTACATTAATTAATCTATAGCTATTAGGGTTCTCGAGTATATGTACACTTTGAATTTTGTCACTTCTAACAATTATATAGTAAGTTCGATATTACTATCAAATGGCTTACACCCTATATATCAATGATGAATTTAGATTTAATTTTGACAGTACTTGTTATAATTAAATTTCTATCGACAATATTAGAGGAGTTTTCAAAGATAATTGTTATTTACTAATATAATCTTTGAATGTAGGTACTATTTGAGGAAATTGGAGAATTCTCATATTCGACATAACTTTGGAGAAGACCACAAAATGACTTATATATTATATTACTAATAATAGAAGAGTACAAAAAAAATTAATTTGCAGCAAGGACAAAAGATGATTGCTATAATATTAGAAAATTTAATCGTATAGATTGTAAAAATTTGGCAAAATTTAAAAACCTCTAACCAAAAAAAAAAGAGAAGTTATTTGTCTTTCAATTCTAGAACAACAAACACTACCGGTAAAGTTAAAAAAATAATAATCATTTTTAACATGTAAAATATCTTATTATATATATATAATATCGTATTTTTAGGACTATGAATCCAACATAGAAGGGTACACATTAAATCC